GAATCTAACCCGAACCTGGCTGGAGAACCTAGCGAGAGAACATGGCCACAGAACCTGGCTGGAGATCCCAACCAGAACTTCGCTGGAGATCCTGACTAGAACTTGGCTAGAGATCCTGCCTAGGCTGCTGATCAACTGAACGCTGTCTCCGTGACATTCCTTCTTCGCCAACTCCATCCACACCTTTGGGGACCCCTGGACCTGCTGAGGTTGGACCCCAGCAGGGAGGGACTGTTGGGTAGGTAATCCACAGGGCCTGCTTTGCTAGCCAAAGACCAGGTAGTCTGTTGTTGGTAAAACCAGGAAATAGAATTCATTCTACTTAATGGAAATATCACAGAAAACATGCTCTCCTTAAGAGCTACTACACGGTACACACTAAGAAACATGAAAGAAAAGTCCACCGTCTAAGTGAAGGATTATATTCTTTCATTCCATAAACGTTTACTCAGTGCCTAATATGTGCCACATGCTGCTCCCAGTCTGAAGAGTGAAGTGGTGAACAAAACAAAGCCCCAGCCCTCAAAGAGCTTACAGTCTAGTGGTTTCTGATATAAAGCTGTTTGTCTTACAGAAAAGAACAGCAGTCATACTTCCAAAGTAAGACTGTACTTCTACATACTGGCCAAATTGCAAAACAACAAAAACAAAACATGACTAGGTTGAATTACGGAAAGTTTACCATGCATTACACTAAGTTATTTTTAAAACATTAAAATATTGGTAATGTAGCCCTGAACACTGTGCTTTGGTTGGTTAGCGCATCATCCCATACACCAAAAGGTGATGGGTTCGATTCCCGATAAGAGCATACAGCCAGGGTGCGGAACCTACGATGTTTTTCTCTCACATTGATGTTTCTCTCTCTCTCTCTCACTCTCCCTTCCTCTCTCTAGAAAATCAATAAAAAAATAAAATATTAGTAATGTATAGTTGATACAGCACTATTTTTAGGTATTCAAAATACTTTAATGTACATTATCTTTACTTCCCCATTGACTGTGAAGGAAGAAAGGGTGGATATTATTACCCAGGCCCTGGAGAATGAGAACCTCGGTCTCCTGTAGCTCTCAGCTTTTACTACAAACTAATATTTATACTTAATGGAAATAATATTTATACTCATATTTAAGTATAAAGTACCACATTTATACTCAAAGATGGAGGCCAAAGTTCTTAGAAAATCTGAGAGGATGACCCATCTCCTCATTGTGGCTGAGTTGTCCATTAGAGAAAGGTGTGATAAAGTGATATTTAGGGGTATGGATACACATCCATACATCTTGGATTTAGCTAGGGTCTCTATTGTGTTTGAAAATTATTTATTAGAATTTCACTACAGAAATAGTCTCTAGGGAGCTTTTAATTCTATTGTATGGTTGGGTTTCATTGAATGTGTCAAACAGAAAGAGGATGAGAAGAAAGCCAGCCCTACAGTTATATTCTTTGTGCCCTAATTCTCAGGGTACAAGCGCACAAAAGGTGGTAGACTTCTCTATGTTCAGAAGCCAGGAGCCCCAGAAACCAGATCTCTTGCTTGAAGGAGGTCCTCAATCATTCAATTTCAGGACAATATTTAATCAATAAAGACTTTTTCACCAGAACAGAGAATCTAACATCAAATCCTACACAGGGTGTCTCAAAGAAATGTATACACACTTCAATAGCTGATAGCTCAATTTTGAAAATGAAATGTATTTTACTTATTTTTTTTAATTTAAATTCTCTATCGTTTAATGTATTACATAAATCTCCTTCTCCCCCATTGATCTCTCCCCGGCCGCACCCAAGCCTCAGCATATGCCCTCATCTCATCCCACCCCACCCCATTGGTTATGCTCATAAATGTATTTTAATAAACTTCCTTTATCATTATTCAAAGTGTGTATATACATTTTTTGGGACATCCTAGATGTCTACTACCAATGTAGAAAAGAAATCTTTTAAGTGTGTTAATTACCCACTTAATAACGGACTGTTTAGAGGTAAAATTATTCATCTTCTGATCCAAAAGAGAGCAGAAGAGAAGCTAGAAAAGGTCAAAGTGAAAACTGTCATTTCAACAAAGTAGGGGAGTGCCGGGGGGTGATGAAAGAAGTACTCAAATGAAAGGAAAAACAACTTGACTTACTTTTTGGTGAGCCGAGGGTCCAGAGGAGGGTGCTGTGCTCCATACACAGGCTGGATGCTAAAAGCAAGAAAAAGGAAGAGGCTGTCAGGACACTAAAAATGTTGGGTGAGTGTCATCTGCATCACCAAATTGGAAGGGACTTTGAGAAACAGGTCACCTCCAATAACTATATCCAATCCAGCCCCAAAAGATAGCAGCCTACTCTTAAAAAAAAAAAAAGTCCTTACAACTTAACAAAAGGAAGACAAACAATCCAATTAAAAAATGGGCAAAGGACCTAAATAAACACTTCTCCAAAGAGGACATACAGATGACCAAGAGACATGAAAAAATGCTCAAAGTCACTGATCATCTGGGAGATGCAAAATAAAATGACAATGAGCCCTAACCAGTTTGGCTCAATGAATAAAGTGTCAGCCTGCGGACTGAAGGGTCCCAGGTTCGATTCCGGTCAAGGGCATGTACCTTGGTTGCGGGCACATACCCAGTAGGGAGTGTGCAGGAGGCAGCTGATCAATGTTTCTCTCTCTGGAGAGTATTATGCTAAGAAAAAATAGTCATCAGAGAAAGACAAGTATCACATGATCGCACTCATATGTGGAATCAAAGTAACAAAATCAATTGATGAACAGAGTGGATCCAGAGACATGGAAGCATGGAACAGAGTGTGGAATCTCGGAGAGAAGGCAGGGGAGGGTTAGGGTTAGGGTTAGGTGGGTGGCAGGTAATCATCCAAAGACCTTGTATGCATATATGCATAATCCATGGGCACAGGCAAAGGGTGGTGAAGGCCTGGGGCAGGGGCGGGCTGGTGGGGGTCAATGGTGGGGAAAAAGGGGACACATAATACTTTCAACAATAAAGAATTATTTTTTTAAAAAAGTCTCTGAGAATGTTCATCTTCCCTGGTGAGGTTTCAGTGCCTTACATATCTGATGTCAGGAAGTCCTATCTGTAAAAAAGGCAGCATGGAAAGATAATGGGCTTTGGTGTTAGAGAGACCAGAGTTCACGTGCCAGTTCTAGCATCCATTCTCTCTATAAACTTGTACTCAATTACTTGACCACTTTGAACGTGTTTTCTCATCTGTAAAATGGAAATATCACCTACCCCAAAGGATCACTTGGGCTCAAAGACAATGAAGCAACACTAGATGTCAAGGGAAGATGACCCAAGGAACTCTTGCATACATTGCTGGTGGGGGTATAAAGTAATACAACCCACTTCAAAAGACAATTTGGCCATATCTAGGAAGCATGTAATGTGCATACCCTAAGACCAGTATTTTCACGTCCAAATCTGTATCTTAAAAGAAATATATACATATGTGTATCGAGAGACATATATAAAACTATTCATAGCATTATGGCTCCTTTTAGTCCAAACTAGAATAACCCAAGAGTCCATCAACAGAGAAGTAACCTGTAGTATGTTCATACTAGAGGCCCAGTGCATGAATTTGTGCAAAGGTGGGGTCCAGCTGGCTCACCCCGATTGCAGCCAATTGGGGTGGGCCGGCCGGGGGGAGGGGACGCAGGTGGTTGGCTGGCTGGCCCTGGCCCCTGGTCAAACTCTTGGTCGAGGGGACAATTTGCATATTAGCCTTTTATTATATAGGATAATAAAATACTACACAGCAACATAAATATAAATAGGGCTGCAAAGTAACAATATGATCTTACAAATGACATGTTGAGCAAAAAAGAAGCAAAAGATAAAAGAGTAAATAGTGTATGATTCTGTTTATATACAGTTCAAAAATTGGCAAAAATGATTTCACTTGGTTAGGGGTGCATCAATGGTGGTAACACCATAAAGAAAACAAAGAGTGGCTAACATGAAAGGATGTGGTTGTCTTGGGGAAAGTAGGGAGGTGTGATAGAGAACAGACACAAGAGGGCTTGTGGAGCTCACTTCTGGGGTCTTCATCAAGTTATAATACCACACGCTGTTTCATGTACTTTTCTGTAATAGTTCACACTCAAAAAAGCGACCCAAGAATAATTCTATATCAAAGCCAAACTGCCGTTTAACCACAAAGGTGACAAAACATGTTTCCACATGTAAGAACTCAGGGAATATGGTTTCCTTTACTTCTTACTGAAGAAACTATTGGAGGAAAAACTTCAATTAATGAGTGCTGGGGTCCAACCCCAGCAGGTCCAGGGGTCCCCAAAGGTGCGGACGGAGTCGGCGAAGAAGGAATGACACGGAGACAACATTCAGTTGATCAGCAGCCTTGCCAGGATCTCTAGCCAT